CGATGGATTTGGGGCTCCACTGTCTCCATAGCTTTCTGCAAAGTGAGGTTCACAATTTAAAGTCTGACGCTTTTTCCTTCATCCTATTGGGACTTTGTTATCATTATCTTTGGGTCACAGAGGCTAGTGCGTTTCTTCCACGTGGACTTAGTTGACGCCTCACTTAGATGGTTGCTTGTTTGAATACAAGCCATTAAGACCCCAGACACTATTCCAGTTGATGCCGGCCACCGCTTGCTTTCTTCAGCACACTTTGCTGCAGCCCCCTGATCATCAGTGATCTCTTTATGAAGGCCAGTAGCAAGAGAAGCCATGGTATAAGACCAGGTTCTTAGATCGGGGCTGGAATCATGAGGGAGTCAGGAATCCATCTGCTTGTCCCCAGGTTATAAACGACTCTGCTTACCTCGTTATGTTGAGAATCTTGCAGTCTGTAAGTGTCTGGTACCCTTCCTGTGCTGGTCTCGGCATGGCATGTGTACAGTGAACATCTTTTTCTATGTTTATTTATCATGAGCACTCTATACCCCATATCTTTCATTTTACTGCATTTTTGAGTGATTGTTTTCTCCTTATTGATTTGTAGCCCCTGCCCCCCAGTCTGTTCTTCAAGTTGTGAACCAGAAGCCCACCTCCTCCTAGACCAACGGTTCTCAACCTGTGGGTCATGACCCCTTTGGAGGTCGAACGACCCTTTCACAGGGGTCATCCGATTCATAACAGTAGCAAAATGACAGTGATGAAGTAGCAAAGAAATAATGTTATGGTTGGGGGGGGGGGGCGGGCGTCACCATCACATGAGGAACTGCCTGAAAGGTCGCAGCATTGGGAAGGTTGAGAACCACTGCCCTAGCCTCCCTGTCATTCACAAAGACACTGTAGACAGGTAGAACTGCCCTTGTGGGTTTCTGCAGCTGCTTACAGGAGAGAAAACCTCATTTTTCTCCCAAAGCGTGGCTGGTGGTTTTGAACTGCTGACCTTGTGGTTAGCAGCCCAATGCTTAACCACCAAGCCACCACGGTTATTCTCCCTCCCAGAAATCTGCCCTAATCCTCTGACCACTGCACTCAGGGGCACCTCCCCAGCCCTGCATTCTGCTCACCTTTCAGCCTGCTCATCTCCTTTAGGAGAATACCTGCAGCTGCGCACCTTGGCTGGAGCCGCCCATCTCTAGCCCAGGATCACACCTGAAAGTGCTCAACGAATCAAAGAATGACAAAGGGCCCCTTGAACAGCTGGCTTTGAGATGTGTTTGATTCCTAGTCCTTGGGAAAACAGTAACAGGAGCCCAAATAGGAATTCCTATTTTACATAAAGTTATTTGCTTTGTTTTCTTGGCTGTAACTACTCTTGGTCTTCATTTTGAAAGTTAAATTCCGCAGGGCCGTAGGGTCCCAGGCTCGTGACCAGCACTGGCTCTTCCTGCTGTTTTTGCACAAAATGCACACTGATATCTATCTGGCCTGAGGGGCCACTCCTTTCTTCACCTCAATCTCCAGGGACTTACTTGCAAAATACTGGTGTCCTGACACTGGGCAGGTAGGCTTCCAGCAAAGGACAGAAATAAGCGTGCATCCAATACATTTTCTTTTCTTCTCTCTCGCTCTGTTTCCTTTAGCCTGAATTCCCAGTAAAGGGTCTGAAAAAGTAGTGAACATGCTAGTGGTTATTTACAAACGCTACATTAATGATCAGAGGCAGAGCGAGGCCTCAGACAGGGAACGCACACCCACCCACATTTCCACACTGGGTCCAGGGAGCATGGCACCAAGGACACGCCACGCCACAACTGAGCCATCAGTATTGGCTCGAGACCTTGGAATCCAAGAGATGATGAACTGATCATTCTATCCAACCTCACAGGAAGCTAGATCTAAAATAACATCGATAGAACCATGGCCAGTCATTGGGCCTTTAATTCATTTGTTTTTACATTTAAAGCACTCATTTTGCTTCCCCTCTGAGCGGAGCCCTGCACCTGCACCGCCCGCCAAGCCTTCACCCTCCTGTCCGAGGCCAAGGACAGGAGCTAAGGGCAGCTGCGTCCTCGCTTTTACCTGGCATCAACCGGCCAGGTCTCAGCAGAAATAGAAAGCTATAACCTGCTACTCACTGAAATTCCTGCCTGGCTCTCCTAATCAACTTCTGGAAGCCTGTGCTTGGCCGCCGATTTCAACAAGCCTAGGAGGAGCCTCCAACCAACAACCAACAGACTGGACGCTGCGACTTTCCAACTCTAACACTGGCGTGCTGGCCCCTCTGGCCTGGACACTGGGATTTGAAGGCCTTGTCCCACCTTAAGGAGCGGTAAAGGGAGGAGTCAGGCACTGTTCTTAATGACAAGAACAGGTAAAATGTAACTCTCCTGTTACACAGTCTTCCTAAACCGCTAGTGTTTTACTGTTTTCAAGGAAGTAAACCAAGGGCAAGGAGTTCTGACAAATTTACTCTCATCTCTGAAACATTCTTCTTCAGGCCTGAGCAGATTCGGGCCCTGAGAAGGGTCCTGGCCGAGACTCTGAAGGCAGCCAGCACCCCAGAAGCTGACTGGGAGGGAAAAGGAGTCCATCCATGAGGCTAATGGAGGAGCAACCAGACCTGATGGGATCCTACTGAGGTGGGGCAGGTCCCTCTAGAGTAAGGTGATCACACGTTCCGATTTTTGGCGTTTTAAAAAAGTCCCAATTTTGGGGAAGAATGCACGACAAGCTAGGGAATGGTCTATTTGGTCCATATAGACCAAAATTTTAATCAAGAACACACACACACACACACACCCCACCCCCATCAATGGTGTCCCGCTTTAAATCTGGTCACCTGGCTCTAGAGCAGCAGTTCTCAACCTGTGGGTCACAACGCCTTTGGGAGACCCTTTCACAGGGGTGGTGCCCGGTTCATAACAGTAGCAAAATGACAGTGATGAAGTAGCAATGAAAATGATTTTATGGTTGGAGTGTCCCCACAACATGGGGAACTATATGAAAGAGTGGCTGCATTAGGAAGGTTGAGAACCACTGCTAGAGGTTTCTACAGAGGAGCAGAAAGGGAGGCAACTGGGAATTTGGTGTTGGGTGGCGGGGAGTAAGAGAAGAGAAACTGAGGCTAGATGGGGGCAGAGGCAGGTGGGGGTGGAGTCAGAGCTTTCTAAAGAAGCTGGGGAATTCAAAGTGGGGGCTGGGAGGTGGCCTAGTTCTCCAGGAGAAAGAGAAGAGACAGCAAAATACCTGAGTCCTGATGGTTGTGGTCTTCCAGAGGAAGCTCACCGGACAGGGACAGACAGGCAGACCAATGAGATAAAAGAAAAGCCAGGAGCCAGGAACTGCTTCCAGGGTGGTGAAGGCAGCACCACCCTTCAATCATTGATCTCCATATGGAAGGAATCCGGTAGATCCCTGTCTGGGCTGGCCTCCACCTCAATTCCAGATGAAATAGGAGGAACAAGCAAGGCTATTGGAGGGAAACCGGCTAACTGTATCACGGGGGCGGGACGATGACGTTTCTTTAATTAGGTGCAAACCCCACAGGCAATGATGGTTTGGTCCACATTGAACTTAAAACTGTTCCCTAAGACAAAAGACCACGTACAACGTGAAGCGCGATGCCGCGGGTGGAGGGAGACATATGTTTGCAACCCACGTTTACTGGGGAAACCACGGATCCACTGTCTTAACCTGCCTCCAGATCCGGACCCCAAGGAGAGAGGGCTCGTGAGGAACACGGGCCAAAGACAGGAATAGGGAACTCGCCAAGGAAGGTGTCCAGTTAGAAAAGAGGCGCTGCGTGTGCAGGGCGGCTGGCCCAGAGGTGCGGGGGCCAGGCCTGGCCATGTGCGGCACACCCAGCCCCCGGCCTTGGGGACCCCCGACCCGGCGCTGCCTGGGGGTGGGGGCGAGTACAGGCCCTTCTACAACGTCCCTCGTCCACACACCCTAGTCCTGCGCTTGCTTGATGTCACAGGGCAGGGGGCGGACCGTCCGGGCTTCCTTGGAGGGGAGGACAACAGGGTCCTGTGCGTCTGCGCTCAAAAGGAATGCCCCCAAGCAACCTGGCGAAAGACAGGGGCCGAATGTGGCACGGAAAAGCAGATGGCAAAAGACACGACTCTGACACCACCGTTGATATGAACACCCCCCCACCCCCCCAAACCCCGCAACAGTCATGATCTATGCCGAAGGCTTTCAGTTTACCCCGAGCCCTTCGGCCTAGCAGAGCCGCTCGCCCCGCTGCCCC